GATCTACCTTGTACATAGAAACAAACACAGAGAGACAGCTAAAATGGGCAGACAAAGAAACTTGTCTCAAATGAAAGAACAGGAGATAGCCCCCGGGGGGGGGGGGTGGGAACCTAAATAAAATGGAGACAATAAAACTACCAGATACAGAGTTCAAAACAGTGATTATAAGGATGCTAAAGAAAACTTAGTGAGAACTTCAACAGCATTAAAAAACACACAGAAATCATGAAAAAGAACCAGTCAGAAATAAAGAATACAGTAACTGGAATGAAGAATACACTAGAAGTAGTCAACAGCAGATTAGGAATCAACGTGCTGTATGGAAGTCTCCCACTGTGTGCGTGTTCATTTTCCCTTTATGGTTCACTGAGAGGATCCAATCGTGATTTGGAAGACCAAATAGCAAAAAACACTCAATAAGAGCAGCAAAAAGAAAAAAGAATAAAAAAATAAGGATAGTTTAAGGGACCTCTGGGACAACATCAAGTATAACATTTGTATCATGGGTGTACTAGAAGGAAAAGAGAGACAGTAAGGGATTAAGAACCTATTTGAAGATATAATAGCTAAAATCTTTCCTAACCTATTGAAGAAAAAAGGCACACAAGCCCAGGAAGTGCAGAGAGTCCCAAACACGATTAATCCCAAAATGCCCATATTAAGACACATCTTAATTAAAACAAGAAAAGTTAAAGACAAAGAGATAATCTTAAAAGCATCAAGAGAAAAACAGTTACCTAGAAGAAAGCTCCCATAAAACTTTAAGCTGATTTTTTTAATAGAAACTTTTCAAGCCAGAAGTGAACAGTATGAAATATTCAAAGTGATGAAAAGCAAGGGCCTACAACCAAGACTACTCTACCCAGCAAAGCTATCATTTAAAATTGAAGGAGAAATAAAGATCTTCCCAGACAAGAAAAGCTAAAGATCTTCCAATAGCCAAGATATGGAAGCAACCCAAGTGCCCATCAATAGATGATTAGATAAAGATGTGGTCCATATATACAATGGAATAATACTCGGCTATAATAAAGAATGAAATCTTACCATTTTTGACAGTATGGATGGACCTACTACTGTAAGTAAAATAAAGTCAGACAGAAAAAGACAAATACCATATGATTTCACTTACATGCCAAATCTAAAATAAACAATCAAACAAAATAGAAACAGACTCATAGGTACAGACTGAGGGTCGCCAGATCGGAGGAATGTTGGGGGCTAGGTCAAAAAGGTGAAGGTAGTAAGAAGTAAAAATTGGTAGTTACAAAATAGTCAAGAGGATGTAAAGTACAGCATAGGGAATGTAGTCAATAATCCTATATAATAAAAGCCTAATATGCTAAGTGTCCAGTCAACCGGTCGGCTGTTCAACCAATCAAAGTGTAATATGCTAATGATATGCTAAGGCTGCTCAACCACTCGCTATGACATGCACTGACCATCGAGGGGCAGACAACCAGTAGGTTAGCTTGCTGCTGGAGTCCAGCTGTTTGGGACTGAGTGAGACAGGCTGGACATGCCCTGAAGCCCTCCTGTGGTCCCTCCCTGACTGGCCAACCTCCCGCGTCTCTCCTCCTAGCCACAATCATGCACTGGTGGGGTTCCTTGGCCTGGCCGGTGCCCTCTCGCAATCCAGGACCCCTTAGGGGGATGTTGGAGGAGAGCGGGTTTTGGCCTGATCCCACAAGGGGAGCACTGCTCAGCCAGAAGCCAGGCTCATGGCTGGCGAGCACAGTGACAGTGGTGGGAGCCTCTCCTGCCTCCACAGCAGCGCTAAGGATGTCCAACTGCTGCCTTAGGCCCGCTCCCCCTAGGGAGCGGGCCTAAGCCATCAGTCAGACATTCCCCGAGGGCTCCTGGACTGTGAGAGGGTGCAGGCTGGGCTGAGGGACCCCTCTGAGTGCACAAATTTTGTGCACCAGGCCTCTAGTCTCTAGTATTAGAATAACTATGTATGGTGCCAGGTGAGTGCTTGATATATTGGGAGGTTCACTTTATAAATTATATAATTTGATTGTCTAACCACTCTGCTGTACACATAAAACTAATATAAAATAATACTGAATTAAGCTCTAATTGAAAAGTAAATAAAAGAAAGCACGTAATCTAGTTAACAATCCTGTAATCCAATTCCTACCCTGCTTTTCCCCAACTCTATGTAATCTTCTCTAAATTCCTTTTTTAATTTAAAATGAATAAAAGAAGCTGGAAAACTTGGGAGCATTAGAGATCTTGCTCCTTGGCATCTGTCATCAGTTTGGCTCAAATAAACTCTTGAAAAATTCTCAAAAAATTTGGATTTGATGAAAGTTTGTCTATTTATTGCTCTTTTCAAAGATTCAGTTTTAAGGTTTATTAATATATTTTAAAGATATTTTATTTATTTCTGCTTTTATTTTAATAAATGCATTCCTTCATCCTTTGGGGTAATATGGCTGTTCTTTTTCCATCTATTAGTTGAATTATTATAAACTTAAAAAAATAAATTAATCTTGGCTCCAAATTTTCCTTTTTCATTGATTAGTAAAGCTCATAAATTTAAGATATTATTCTCTCTCTCTCTCATTTCTAAGTAGTTTGTAGCTTCAGCTCTGAGTTATTTCGAACACAATTAAGTGAATAGATTTTGGAGGGACTACTAATTTTATGGTTACTTTCTAATTTTTGCTGTATTGAAGTAAGAGAAATTTTAGAATTTATTGAAATTTTCTTTGTGACTTACATCTTGGCTAATTTTTGGAATGATTCTGGGTGTTTAAAAAAGTACTGTTTTTTTTTTTTGCTATTTATTGAGTACAGAGTTATTCAATTAGGTTTAATTATGTTATTTAGATGTTCTGTTTGGTCTGTCAGCTTCTATGTGCTGTATGGAAGTGCTGTATGGAAGTCTCCCCCTGTGTGTGTGTTCATTTTCTCTTTATGGTTCTATCAGTGTCTGATTGATATATTCCCAAATACGTTGTTACATGCATGTGGTTTTATGATTGTTACATATTATTGATGGATTATATCTTTTATCAATATTGAATATCCTTCTTTCACCTGGAATTTTATTTCTTCTGATATTGTTTTTATTACATCTACATTTTTGGTAAGCATGGTCTGGTATTCTTTTTCTATTTATTTTTATTCTCTTTAGGTTATTTTATTTTACTCTACCTATTATAAACAGGCTAGAGCTATACTTCTTAAAGCCAACATTAGAATATCTATCTTGTAATAGAGAAATTTAATTTTTCATGATTATTAATTTTTGTCCTTAATCCCACCATCTTAATTTATGTTCTAGTTTTCTTTCTCTTCTTTTCTTTCTTTTTCTTTCTTTCTTTCTTTCTTTCTTTCTTTCTTTCTTTCTTTCTTTCTTTCTTTCTTTCTTTCTTTCTTTCTTTCTTCCTCTCTCTCTTTCTCTCTCACTCTCTTGCTCTCTCTTTCTCTCTCTCCCTCCCTTCCTTCCCTTCTTTGCATCTCTGTCCTTTTGCTAAGTTGCAATAGTTTATGTGTGTGCATCCATTTTCCCCTCTAGTGGTTTAGAATGTACATATTACATTTTTTTTCTTTGTAGTTGAATCCTATCTGCTTTTTTCCACTTAGGAAATTCTCAATATTTCTGGCTCACCAATAGCACCCTTTCATGTTTGCCATTCTTCTTCCTAGTACTGTTATGGTTTATTCTTTTAAAAATATCTCTCTCATCAAGGACTTGAGGAAAGGAGGGGAGATAGACCATGTTCTTGCTCTGTCATCTGTGTCTAGTTCCCCTATTTAAATGTGGCATAGGCTTAAGTGTTGTTAAATTGCAGTCGACAGTGGCCCTTGTGTTCTCATAGCCACAGTCTGAGGGAGGGCTCTGCCATTTGATTGAAGACTTTTAAGCAATAATGATACTTAGGCTTGGTCATGAAGAAAGGATGCTCTAGAACAGTGGTTCTCAACCTGTGGGTTGCCAACCTGTGGGTCGCGACCCCTTTGGAGGTCGAACGACCCTTTCACAGGGGTCGCCTAAGACCATTGGAAAACACATCTATAATTACATATTGTTTTTGTGATTAATCACTATGCTTTAATTATGTTCAATTTGTAACAATGAAAATACATCCTGCTTATCAGATATTTACATTACGATTCATAACAGTAGCAAAATTACAGTTATGAAGTAGCAACAAAAATAATTTTATGGTTAGGGGTCACCACAACATGAGGAACTGTATTAAAGGGCCGCGGCATTAGGAAGGTTGAGAACCACTGCTCTAGAATATAGTGAAGGTGGGCTGTCTGATAGAGAGAATCCCTGAATCCTCTGGAAAGGAACGCCAGGGCAATGACTAGAAATCATGTGGCCCAGGATAGAGTTAACAGTTCTCACCTCCCAGCCCTGGACTAGGTGGGGTCCCAGGAAAGTGATAAGAACCAAGGGGGCTGACAGGGTGGCTAGGAGCCAGAGGAGGAGGAGAAGCAGGCTGCAAGTGTCAAAAACTCGCTCACTCACAGGCAGGCATGAGAATCCTGCCCTCCCCAGCTACACCCGAGGGTGGCTTTCCAAGAAGTAAAGGTGCATGGCTGGCCTCACCGAGGAGGAACCAAGCACATGGACATACCCACCCAACACAGCAATGGCACCGACATTGGCACCTGTATTTGTTTTATGAGGAAACTGAGGCTCAGAGAAGTTAGATTCTTACTCAGGGCCATAGAGCAAGTGTGTTGCAGGCTTGGCTTTGAGCCTGTTTAGCTCCCAAACCAGGGTGCTCTCAGAATTTGACTTTTGATCCCCTACTGTTTTCAGGTGGTTACCAGCAGCTGTGCCGTGTCCATGGGCTGCCTGACGGGAGGTTGTAAATAACAATGAAATGACTGCTTCCCAGTCCGTGGAGGGAGACCCAGCACCAGTTCACCCCCTGCTCACTCTCGTGGAGAGAGACCCCTCTCGTTCTACATCCAGACTCTAGGGCGGCATCGTGCTGCTGTTTCTGTGTGCACGGTCCTCAGAGACCCACCTGAAGAGGAGCAGCACAGCTTGGGGGAAGGTCTGAAAGTTGTTGTTCCGGTTGATCTCGGTAGTGTCATTCAAGGCAATTTTCCCAAACACCTAAAAGGGGAGAGGAAAGGGATTGGGTGAAGCATGGACCAGGAGCACCCTAGTTCCCACCCATCACTCAAAGGTCTCCTCAGGGTCAGCGCTGACCCTGGGACAGGCTGGCCTATAAGCTGAGCAGAGTCCCCTCATGCACCCTGGCTGGGCCTCCAGGGGGCAGGCACCTGCTTCCCTGTGTCAATCCCCCACACTGGACAGGTAAGAAGAGCCCATGGGCCCTCAGGAGAGGCCCGGTGGCCCGGTGGGCGCTGAGGCTGAGAACAGGCCCACTGGTTTTCAGGGGGGAGGGAACTGCACATTCTTAAGAATATTTTCTCTTAAAAACTTTATTAAGGAATAACTAACAAATATAATTACATATATTTAAAGTGTACAATGTGTTGATGATTTGATGTACACACACACTATAGGATCATTACCAATATCAAGACAATTAGCATGCCTCATCTCACACAGTTAATAGTTTTTTGGTGTAAGAACGCTTACGATCTGTCAGCAATGTCAAGGCTACAATACTGTATTATTATTAACTATCATCACCATTAGATCATCAGAACTTATTGATGCCTTTGCCATTTCAGCTCCATATGCCCAAGCACACTTCCAAATTTCGTTCTTGTTCTCTGGAATGATATGGAATAAACAATCTGGGGCTTCGACAAATTTAATGCATCCTTGAAATCAGAGGCCTCCTCACCCCATCCCCCGAACTTTTAAAGCGATGCTTTTCTTAGAAACTGCCACCCTTGATCAATGGCAAGGTAGCTCTTTTCATCTCAAAGGTTTTGGCCTATGAACCTTAGGGTCTTTCTGCAATAAGCAAGCAGGAGAATTGTGCTCAAGGAGCTGCTGAGGAAAAGCTCCTGGCCAGGGTGCAGTGTGGGCTGGGTGTTCTTCGGGAACCCCGAGGTGTGGCTGGAGAACTCCGGGCTTGGGGCAGGAGAAAGTGCAGTGGCACCGGTGGGGGGCCTGGAAACTGCTGTGTGTTTGATGGGGAGAGCCTGCCTCTCTCCCTCCCTCTCTCCTGAGCGACACTGGGTGGGGAGAGTTCTCAGGCCCGTCAGACCTGGGCAAAGAGAGGGATGCTGTCTGACGCACCCTTCCTGCGGATTCCTAGAAGGGCCCTTATCTCTTGAGCCCAATGAATAATTTGGAAGTGTTTTTCTGAGCGCAGAACCCAGGCCTGGGAAAATGGGGAGAGAAACTCTCTGAACTGTGTATTCCACTCTGGGCCGTTCACCCTGCTACCTATAGGGTACCATTCGGGGGAAGTTCCAATTCCTGTGACACTTGGGCCTCAGAAGGTGAAAGAGGAGGGAGCGAGGTAGTCAGGAGCAGGGGGGAGGTGAGGAGGCAGAGGGCGTCAGGGAGTGTGGGGCTGGGAAAGCAGGGGACAGAGGAGCCGAGCACCAGGGAGCCCTACCTGCATCCCGATCACGGCATAGATGAAGAACAGCATCACGATCAGAAGGGCCACGTAGGGCAGGGCCTGGAGGAAGCAAAAGACTTCGTGAGGCGGTGAAGATGGCAGGCTGGCTGGACCCCTTCCCAGGGCACGGCACCTGCCACCAGCAGCTGCCTGGCTTGGGGTGTGGGGGGGGCATTTCCAGGGGCTCCATGGTTCTGGGCACCTGGGAGAAGGCCTGAGTGATGGCACTGACCCTTCATTTTACTTGGTTTTAATCACCTGAGAAGCAGTACAGTATTGAGAAAAGCAGGTTGCAGAGTAAAGAACATAGTGTGATATTACTTAGTAAAAACAATGAAAAATGAGCAAAATGTCCTCCGAGGAGACATGTATCTTTGTTCAGCAAGGAGAAAGGCTCGGAGGACACACACCAAGGCTCCCCGGGAGGCGCAGGTGGAGGCAGCTCCCTCCCTTTCTTTGTATGACTTTATGTTGTTCCACTAGTGGTAATAAAATCATTTACTAAGGGAAACTTAACTAAAAGAAATATTATGGGCTCAAACCCTATTTCTGCCACTTTCTAGCTATGAGACCTTGGGTATCTTAATCTCTCTGAGCCTCAGTTTCCTCATCTGAAAAATGAGAAGAGCAACAATGACTTTGCGGGGTTTTTGTAGAGTTTAAATCAGGGGTCCTCAAACTACGGCCCTCGGGCCACATGCGGCCCGCCAAGAACATTTATCCGGCCCGCCGGGTGTTTTTGCCGCCGCTGCCTGTCCTGCTTAGCAGCCGACTAGTCCCGGGCCCGCAGTGCGCATGTGTGGAATGTCTGAGGGACAGTGAACTGGCCCCCTGTTTAAAAAGTTTGAGGACCTCTGGTTTAAATGATGTAAGGCTTACAAAACGACTCGTGCATTGTCTTGCACTTGGGTTCCACACATTTTATTCACTCAAGGTATTATCTGCTCAAATGCGCAGACAACGGAATTTTCCAGAGCCCCTGCCACTTCTGGGGAGGCCCCTGGGGAAATGCCCGGCCAGGTGCCCGCACACCACTAGATGGCACTGCGAGACCATGTGGACTCTAAGTGCCATCAGCGCTCCAGCTCCACAGCCCGGCGTCACTCTTCACAGGCCCGGGGCCTCTTCCCAGCCCAGGAAACATGGGAGGCCTATACGGTCACCCACACCTGTGGGTCTCCAAAGGTGCCCGTTGGACAGGGTCAGCCCAGTCTGCTTTCCGAAGAATCCTCAGCCTCCCAGGGACTAAGAGTGGCTCAGGGTGGGTGGGGTGGCAGGGAGGGCCCTGCTCCTCCTGAGGTGGGCAGTCAGCCTGGGCCGGCTAGGAGTGCAGCCAGGCTGGAGCCCTCCCTGGGGCCCGTCTTTGGCGGGGATGCTGACGCAGGGCAGGAGGCTCTCTGTGGAGGTGTGTATGCCTTTGGGGTGGGTTCCAAAGCAAGCAGGTGCCTGATGGCAGTGACCTGACAGGGCTTTGCTTAAGCTAATATAAGCCTCGCAGAGATGGCCAGAGGCAATCATTATTCTGCTTTTACAGATGGAAAATGATGGCTGAGCCAAGAGAATTGATTCTATGTTGGGCAACCCTGTGCTCATTTGAGGGGCCATCTCTCCACGAGAGAGAGCAGTGACACCGGGAGAGTTCGGCCAAGTCCCTAAGTAGGAACAGCAGTCACTGCTGCAATGACAGAATTGGGAGGGTCTTGGGGGCCATGGTTTTCAAATTTGTTCCACCACAAATTCCCTCTGTCTAATCAGTTCTTGCAGAAAAATACCTAAGTGAGAGAAGAAAGCAGAGCCATTCAGCCCCCCTCGGCTTTCAGCCTTCCCCACCCGACCTCAGGGAAATCTGGGGACCCAGACGTGCTTTTGAGAACCACAAACTGAGTCCAAGCGACTCATGTCAGACACGAGCAGCAGTGAGCAGCAGAGCGAGCCCCGTCTTGACTCCTGGATGCTACTCGTTCCTTGACTGTCTCCTCCGGCTCAGGGAGCCCGTGGGAGCTGGGGTGGGGGAGTCCCATGCAGCCCTGCAGCCCAGGAGAAGCGGAGGCCTCCTCCCGCCAGTGCTCAGGGTGGCTACCTGGAAGGACTTGATGAAGGTCCACAGCAGCGTCCGGATGCCCTCCCCACGGCTCAGCAGCTTGACCAGGCGCATGACCCGGAAGAGGCGGAAGAAGGTGATGGAGATGCGGGAGTTCTCCTCTGCATTCTGGAATCCATTGGCAACAGGAGGTGGTAGTTAACACAGCAACACGGAGGGGTGGGCGAGAGCGGGGTGGGCCCTGCTCCAGCAACACAGCCCTTGGCTGGGACAGACCAGCTCAGGGCGGGGTTGGCTGCACTAGGTCTCTCCCTGGCCACCGAGGGAAGGCAGCGCCCACCTTTTCCAGGTGGACAACCCAACCCTGAGGTCTCTGCAGAGCCAAGCTGTGCCCAGGCCCTGAGCCCATGTCCTTTTTCCTATTCTCCCGCTTCACTTTCTTCCCGAGTCCTTGAGCGCCTGGGTGGGGCGACAGGAGCGTCCCTGAGGAACTTCCATAGGCCCTGTAATCGAGGCGGGGAGCCAGCCTCTGAGGGCGCCCGGCCTCGGCCACGTGCTGAGAAAGCAGCGGCCTCCCTCCCGCCTGGCGCCTGGCGTGGCCGTGGGTCCTGCATCCTGAGGGGATGGGGCCGGTGGGTGTGGGGCCCTCCCTGCAGGGGGACGACTGCACTGGGGCCGGTGCGCAGGCAGTGGGCTGCCCACTGCAAGAGCTGGCTCTCGGGCTCCTCAGGACTCCAGCACTTCTGTGTGCCAACTCCCACTGCTCACAGCCCCCGTCCCACATGGCTCTGGTGTTGCTTAGTGCTGGGCGAGTGTCTGCTTTACAGCCCTTGCCTTTTCTGGGGCTCTAAATCTGCGCCCCCCATCTCCTCCTCTCTGCCCTGGGCCTCTAGGAGGCACCCCCTTTCCAGGAGAGGTGGGGAAGGCAGTTGGAATGAGAGGACCAAGGGGTCCTGCTCAGGGCAGATCATCTCCTCAGGAGTCCTGGAGGGGGAGGGCAAGGGCAAGGGGAAGAAGAATGGAGCAGGACAGCCGCTGAGGTGGGAATATGGCGCTGCGCTGCTGGGGCTGCTGGCCGAGGGATCACTCGGCATCTTGGACCTGGAGGGTCCCAGGGCTTGGGCACAGGCCTGGGCAGGGCTCAGGGGGGCAGGAAAGATTTCCCTGTCACCGTCTGCCTCCAGACCCAAGGCAAACATGGACTGACCCGCTGGCCCCTCCTCCTGCCACGTGGGCCTAAGAGCTGGGGTGGTGACCAGGCAGCCACTTGCCTGCTCCCAGAGCTAGTGCAGCTCACCCAGCCCTGTCGGCACCGGGAGAGAATGGACCCTGGGGCTTCCTGTTACTGTTCCCATCGCTGCCTCCCTCTGGGTCATCGCTGGGACCCTGTGTTGCCTCCCGGCTTCTCCACCCACATTTCCGGCTTGGTGCTTAGTCATTTTCAGGTGGGAGCCCCTCTGGCCCTCTCCATCCCCACATCCCACCAGCATGGTCGCCCTGCTCCCCCAGGCCCTGCGGCCTGTCCCGCTGACTGTCACTGACGTGGCTGCTGGCCCCAGAGGCCAGAGTGGGAGGCCCCCAGGGAGGCGGGAGAACCCAGAGACAGCCTTTACCCCTCCTGGAGGGCTGCTCAGAAACCAGCAGGAAGTCCCTCTGGGTTTTGGACTCTCCCTGCAGGGGAAAGAGTCACAGTATTTCTCCTACATCTAAGCCAGAGTCCTCCCCAGGCCCTCGGGCGCTTGTTCCCCTCAGCAGGGCAGGCTGTGGGGGGGAGCCGGGGAGGAGGGGCAGGCAGCGTCCTCGACTTGCCCCACGCTCTGCCCTGCGTGGATTCTGAAGTCTTTGATGCCCTTAATCTCTGCATTTCTATCACCTGTGTATCTACTTGAAATTCTATTTTCTTTCCTTAAAAGAGGAGTATGCAGCCGAGGCTCGGGGTTTACAACAGCTGTCAGTTCCCCATGTCGGGGAGGCGGACAGAAGAAAGAACAAGCTGAAGCGGGAACCTCAGCTGTGAGTGTCAAGAGTCTGGGAAGTTGTGCCACAGGGGCGTCTGGGTCTGACGGGTGAGGAAATGAAACCCAAGCCTGCAGTGTGGCTTCCAGCCTGGGACCAGGAGCCCCCCGGCTGCTGCAGTTTCCTGATGCTCTAGAGGGGAATACACACTCCACGTGGACATGACCACTTCTTCTGATAAACCAAACGACACTGCAATGAAGAAGCAGAGCCAGTGGCCGTCCCTGCAAAGTGGGGAGCAAGCCCAGGAGCAGCCCTGCCTCGGCCTCCACCCGGCCTGGGGCGGCGTGTCAGGAAACACCACCAGCCCACCCAGCCTTGTCTCGTCTGCTGACTCGGGGTTCAGGGAATCACCCCACCACTAAATGTGTGACGATAGCTTTTCGGAGAAGGCTGTTCTAAGGAGACCTCAAAGTCACATCAAGTGGCATCTCTATCACTTGAGCCAAAGTGAACTGGAGTGGTCCAATCGAACAGCCCAGCTTTTCTGCTTGCTGTGTGCTGCAGAAAAGTGGGTGGGGATAGCCCAATTTTATTTTATTTATTATTATTATTATTTTTAAAATATATTTTATTGATTTTTTTACAGAGAGGAAGGGAGAGGGACAGAGAGTTAGAAACATTGATGAGAGAGAAACACCGACCTGCTGCCTCCTGCACACTCCCCACTGGGGATGTGCCCGCAACCAAGGTACATGCCCATGACCGGAATCGAATCTGGGACCCTTGAGTCCGCAGGCCGACGCTCTATCCACTGAGCCAAACAGGTTAGGGCGGGATCGCCCAATTTTAATGAGCTCAGGGATTTAGAAAATTCCACAGGTAACACCGTTGAAGCGACTGGAAATTCAGCCACACTCTCAGTAACAAATCCCAGCTCAAACCTTCTGCTGTGGCCTTAAACTCAGCACAAAGGAGCCCAGTCCTTACAGAAACTCGATTAAGGAAGAAAGTAGCCGCCTGCTCTCCCGCTTCCTGCTGGATCATCTCCCTCTTCCCTCTTTCCCAGGAGGCCTTACCATGGAGACCTTCAAGCGTCTGCCCACCCCATTACTGCTAAGAACCCTGGGTAAACGCTTGAAGGTGCCCTGCGCAACGTTCCCACCTCAGGTTAGGGCTAGAGGCTTAGCTAGTGGGTCTCAGGGTGTTTAACAGGAAATTGCCCTCGGGTCCAGTTCTCTCCCAGTGGCTCGTTAGACAGTCAAGATCACAGTGAATTATCACCCAAAGGGAAGTTCAGGGAGGGGGGAGGACACCATTACACAGACAGCACGTCACAGCCCCACGAGACCAGGCAGGCAAGGTGCAAGACGGACACGGTGGCCACATGCAGCAGGAGCCAGGCTGGGCTCTGGGAGACTCAGGGTCCAGTGGTAAGAGTGGGGGGGTGTTAGAGGAGGTCACAGAAGCTCAGAGCGTGGTCTGGAGGGTTGGTCTTACCAGAGAGGGAGAGCATTGGGTATGTTCAGCTGGCTTTAAAGAAAGGCAGATAGAGATAAGCTGTAATGAGTCTCCAACGAAGAGATTGGCATTCTAGGTCTTGGCTAACACAGGAGCAACACAGTGGCAGGAGAGGGCAAAAGGAAACAAGTGACAGAAATACCAACCACAGGCCTGGCGGGTTCTGCACCGTGAGTGTGGGCTCTGCATTAGCTGGGCCTCATGTCTACCATCTCCGCCATGTATTAAATAGCTCACACCCAGTGCAAATTCGATCTGGACTCTGTGGATGGAGGTCTTTCTCTGACTGGCTTATTTCACTTAGCAAAGCCCACCGCGTGTTCTAAGACAGCTTCACTCACTCTAGCTCTACCCCAGCACTGCCGCGAAAGGAGCTGGCTAGCAATGGCCCCTCAGGTTGAGGGGGAGCCTGGGTTTTAATTCTCACTGTGGAGGGTCTAAAGAGGTGGCCCTCACCTCCCTCCATAGCAGGGGTTAGTCCTCAGGCTGAGGCTCAGGTGGGAGACGGTCCTGCTTAGCTACTAGTCTTCAGGTGTGAGAGCCCTGGCATGGCATGACCTATGTGTGGAGCTGTTTTTGAAGTTGGAAAGCTCTGCACACAATTTTAGACATGGTTACTAACGCCCAAGAAGCTGCTCTCATGGGTCTGACTGCTGAGCTCAGTTTGGGGCAGGTGCTGGGGAAAGCGGCATGTTGAGTCCGCGCAGCTCTCTGCCCAGTTCCCCAGCCTGGATCCCGAAGACGCCCCCACTCTCAGCAGGTAGAGCCGAGCGCCTGACTGATCTGACCTTCTGAGCTGTTAACTCTTTCTAGAAGGTCACGACTTTGCTTTTACCCTCCACTTTCAGATGGCTGCTCTTGTGTTTCTGTTTTTAAGATACAAACAAACGTTGTAATGGATTTTTGAAGGATGAAAATGTGCACAACCAGACATTTGCTTGCAGACTTAAAACACTCCTTTGGCAACAAATTTGTCGGCAAGTTCCTTTTTCCCATAGCAGATTGGTGGGATGTTTTTTGGGGAAGGATGGAGATGCAGGGGGAGGCCGGGGAAGAATAGGGCAGGGGTGCTCTCCAGTCTTCTGCAGAACAGTCCCATCTCCATTCTGCTTCTGGAGGAGCACGAGCTGCCGGTCAGTCCACAGGCCTGGAAGCTGGGCTCACGAGAATTTGACTAGCAGGCTGCGATAGAACATGGAAACACACACACACACACACACACACACACACACACACACGGAGGCAATTCAGGATGGTCAAGTGTTTGTGCACCTGTGTGAATGGGTCTGTGTTTCTGAGGCTTCAGTGAGCGAGTGTGAGGGTCATACAGAGGTCAATCTATTCTACACACTATGCCCAGGCATTAGGCAGAGTTCCCAGCAGGCTTGGGTCCACCCTGAAAACTCTTCCCCACCCCATGACTGCTAAGAACCCTGGGCAAAGCTTGAAGGTCCTCTGGGTCAATCCCATCCCAAATAGGACCAGAATGAAAACAACTTAGAGAACTCACCTGAGTCACCTGGTCACACTGAATAACCCCAGCCATTAGGAAATTTAAACTACTTGTTTTATTGTATTTTACTTTTTACACATGCAGAATGCTTCATTTGGGATATTTAAAGGTCTTAACTGTCCTTTTTTTTTTTTTGGTTGATTTTTAGCCTTTTATAGCTATTTAAGATCTTATCTATTTAAGTCATATTTTATTTCAAAATGTAGTTTTAGGTCTGTTCTAATCACCTTGATCCTGTCTTGTTATTTTAATAATATGTATTGATTTAAGAATCCTCATGATACGTCTCTGCAATGGGAGACAAGGAGTGGTCAGGGAGCTGTGAGGGCAGCAGTGAGTGGGAGGACGGGGGCCTGGGGGCCTGCATTGGGTCCCCGCCCGGTTAATGAGACCGGCACTGTGGGAGAATCAGGAGACTCACAGATTAATCATTTTCTCTGGCTTTAGACCATGCTTTTTAAAGGGCACGTGTGTCTCTTTTCGCTCAGTCCCTCCACCCCCTCCCAACCCAGCCCCCCAAGCCCCTCCCACCCTGACAGCTGTCAGACTGCTCTCTATCTATGTGTCTGTCTCTACTTTGCTTGTTAGTTCATTAGAGTCCACATATAAGTGAAATCATAGAGTACTTGTCTTTCTCTGACTGGCTTATTTCACTTAGCATAATGCTCTCCAGGTCCCTCCATGCTGTCTCGGATCCTTCTTTTTACTGCTGCCTAGTATTCCATAGTGTAAATGTACCACGGCCTTTTTATCCACTCATCTACTGGTGGGCACTAGGGTCAGAGGGCACTTTCGACTTGCTGGGGCAGTGTTGCCTGTGAGCCTCTCACACAGCCTGTTCTATGTGCGGGGCTATGCTTACAAAGTGCACAGTCTCAAAAAAAAAACAAAAACAACACACACACAAAACTAACCACTCATAATAAACTCTCAAAGCAATCACAAAATGATTCTCAGTGGAACCAACAGGAAGAAGCCTAACACACAGCCCTTGCTCTTGAGAACCCACAGTTCACGGACATACCGCCAGCCCCCGAAGGACATTCCTAGATGACCTGGTGTAGTCGGTCCTGTCTTTGGTCCCCTTGCCCAGCTGCAAATGGAACCCCCGGTGAGCTGGAAGGGAAGACTGGGCCAGTTGGATCCGGGCACCTGCACTTTCAGCCAACTGTTTGTTGGCTACTCTCTGTGAGTCCCTGGTTCTCTTAAAAAAACTATCTGGCGATGGTCCTACTTTTTGAGCTAAACTTAGAATCAGTTGGTAGCCTGGAGTACTTGTGCGATCCATCTCTGACCCTTTTCCAGAGTTGCTCCCAGTTCCTTGAGTTAGATGACAGTTTCTCCTGGGGAAGAGGAGTAGGACTCCCTGAAGACGTATGCCCCGGCAGCCTGGAGACCCTACTGCCTCCCCTTCCCCAAGAGCCAATGGAGCTGCACATCAGCCCTGAGCATTCGGGCTGAGCTTGCATTCTGTGCTGTACCCACTAATGGTAGGTGTGCAGTGAATGTCTGAGCAACCAATTGTTTCATCTTTGTTTTCTAATGATCCGGTAACTTTCAAGGCATTAAAGATATTGGGTCAATTAACTAAACTTGTTCATGCAATTTGTATACATGAACTCAGGTGATTATGCTATAGTGAGGCAGAGGTGGGACATTTTCAGAAAGAGTCCTGGCTAGTGGTTCCAGCTAACAGGTTAGCAGTGGTTCTCAACCTTCTGGCCCTTTAAATATAGTTCCTCATGTTGTGACCCAACCATAAAATTGTTTTCGTTGCTAATTCATAACTGTAATGTTGCTACTGTTATGAATCGTAATGTAAATATCTGATATACAGATGGTCTTAGGCGACCCCTGTGAAAGGGTCGTTCAACCGCCAAAGGAGTCGCGACCCACAGGTTGAGAACCGCTGGGTTAAGGGCAAATAGAGAGGAAAAGCCAGTTAACGTACTGCAATTTACATATGCAGATTAGCTTGGTTTGGTATAACTGGCTGGGACGATAGGGGTGACATGGGGCAGCTAGTAAGAGAGAGTCTCTGAGTGAAGTTTAGGATCAAATCAGAAGTGTTGCCTCAGTGGGTGAGTCGGCTTCTGGAATATACTCACTGCCCCTGTTCACTGCGGTACTATCTCCAGACCACACAGAGGCTGCTTAGGGAAACCCCGGGAACACAGGAGAGGCAGAGAGACTATCCTAGTGGAGGGATTTCCCAGGAATATGACATCAGTGGCATGTGTTTCCCAGTTGTTAACATTACTTTGTCTCTCTGGAGAACTAAAAGTTGTTGAAAATAGCTCCTAACCATATAAAAAGGGACGTTCTTCCTCCCCCTGCCCCTCCTCCTTCTTGCACAGCCAGGAGGGGGAAGATTACTAGGGATTTAGGGGCTAGGTGTAGATATCTAGGCTGGAATACCCAACAAAGTTGTCTTCCAGAATTCTCTTGAGATCAGTTGGTTAAAGAGAATTTTAAAGAGCTCAGAAGCCTCCGCTGCCCCCTCCTGGCCATGTTGACCTTGAAAGGCACTGACTATCCTTGGGCTCCCTCCAGAGGAGGCTGGCTCCCCGCTGAGTCAGGAGCAGGGCCCACAGATGGGCTGCCAATCCCGATGGCTGCTGTTGAGGCGATGGCTATAACCTCATGGCCACTGAGGTTCCTCATTCCTCTGAATAGGAGGTGAGGGCAATGCCATGGGGTATGTGAGTCTTTTACTGGGCACCCTGCTGAGGAACCTTGCTTTTCTTTTTTTAAAATTTTTTGTCTAAAACTTAGGGAGTGGCTGTGATAGAAATTCCACTCCATCCACCTGAAGGGCAAGTTCCAGCTGGCATTGCCTACACCCCCACCCCATGCCAAGCTCTGCGTCTCTGCTTTTGCTGTCTCTACTCTCGTCTCAATTTGATCTGCAAGGCAGGATGGCTAGTTCAGTTGTGAGAGCACAGTGGTGTGGTGGAGGGCTGAGTGGCCGGGGCTTTGTTGGTGAAACCCCAGTTAATCTGTGGCGAGAGGACCATTATCAGGCTGGTACACACAGAGAAGACTGGGAGAAGCAGAGCCAGGGGCTTCTAGAAACATCTGACACCAGCGTCGTGGCCAGGAGCTAGCAAGTGTCAGTTAATTGGGAAGGGGGTGTCCTCATTATCCTTTTACCTCCTCTTTCAACCAGGAGAAATGAGAACGCAGGGACTAGTGTGGCCTATAGATGTCAGGGAGTTGGGAGATGCTGCACCTTAGAGCCACCAGAGATGGCAGCAGGGAAAGGCATGGTTAGGAGACCAAAGTAAAATATGTTTTAACCTGTAACCTTCCAAAGTTGAATTAAGAGCTTCCTTGCTAAGGGGGATGCAAAGTTTAAAGAACCATAAGTCAACTGGGATACAGAAGATGTCAAAGGCTTTTAGATATAAGTGCAAATGAAGGAAAGATGGGCACTTGAAAGTAATTCTTACACAGAATTTCCCTTTTGGTCTGGAATGAATGGGAGATGTAAACAGAT